TCCTCTTTTTTTCCTCAACTGAATTCTCCGAATATAATACGTTCATGCCCAGTACCTGAGGTTGCATTTTGACTTATTGGAGAGTTAAATAAAATTGTTCTTGCACGTGTACTTACAAACCCAATAATCTCTTTATATTTCAGGGTCTCAGATACACGGGCTGACCATCACAAAGAATGTTATTCACGCATGCTGGTAGTCAGTTAGTTATAGAGGGACGGCATGGCGGTTGCGGCGTGTCTGTGTGGAACCCAAGGACCCTAGAAAATTTAAGCTTCTTGCTGGAAGCTTGAACGAGACGGCAAGCTGTTGGCCACGGCCATTTACAGACTTTTATATTGCTTTGACTGCTTCATAATGTACTGATCATTCGCACCAGTGACTGCCGATTCTTGAACTGGAACTGAAGACTGAAGAGTGCTTTTTTAAAAAAATATGCTTTAAAATGGGATGAGTACGGAAAACAGAAACTATCGAACGATTTTTTGTTTTGCCCAACGGAACATCTACAATTTCTGTAGCTATTCTGGGTGCTAACAGTGCAGCGGCATTAGGAGTTGGTCTTCGTGCGTTATTAATGGGCGCACTCACTCGAAGTACGTTAGTAGTAGTGCTGGGCGGCAAGGTTCCCAATTATTGGAAGCTAGGAATCGATGGAATCGACTCCGAACCCAATTACTTACTTTCTAGTGATGTAATTTCTTCCGGTGGTTACCTGATTGGCTCCGAACATTTTCAGGATCTAGGATCACCTTGATTTCGGAACACTACGAAGCATCAGCTTTTATTTTCCAAAAATAAATTCTAAAATAAAAACAGAAGAAAATGTTAATGATTGCAGTAACTGGTAACCGTTAGTTTATGTAAAAAGGAGTCGGAACTTTTCTTCCGTATTATCAATCGTAGGAATCGGTTCCAGAATCGATTCCTCGCCCAGCTCTAGTTAGTAGTAGCCGATGTCTTTACGCTTTGATTAAGTAATGAAGGCTTTCGGTAGGATGTGTCAGGGAAAGGAAGAAGTACGCTTAAGAAATCTTCCTGTAGTGACGGTCAGATCAGTGCTAAGGTTTAAAAGGTTGTTCTTGCATCGTCATTTGTACGCAAGAGAATATAAGTTTTTTTTTTACAAATTGCATTAAAAGAATCAGTATTTTGATACTTGTACCCAGAGGTCATTTGATTCTATTTACTTTCGGTGCGACAGTTCGAAACGACTGCTTTTCAGTCTCAGGCTCCACCCGTAGCAAGAAAATTTCCACTCTCCGAACGGCTGTGAATAAGGCAATATCTGCCCGTTTGTCTCTCTACAACGTTATACGACGTCATACTTCATAGCCGTGCATCGACTGGAAATTTTCGTAGTGTGCGCGGGACCTTTACCCTATTTTTTATCGAGTTTGACAGCTTGTTGTATTTTACCTACTGTGTTTGAAAAATAACAATATTCTGTGTCGGCTTCTATATTAGTGGAGGTGATTTTTTTGCCATATCATTTTATTATGCTCAATTAATGAAATGCTAAGAGTGGGCTACTGGAATTTTGTTGCAAAAATTGAACTGTCGTCCAATCTTGTCTCTGAGTCGCTTTACACAGCATCTGCCAACAGACCCCGGTCCAGGGCTGTACACGAAATCGCAAGCGAGGCCAGCAAAGTTTTGAGAAACAAACCTGTTTTCGGAAACAATTTTGTTTTATTTCGAAAACAATTCGGTTTCTTAGAATTGAAAAAAAAAATAAAGACCCTACTGGAATCAAATTATATATTCCTGGAATATAGTGTACCGGTACATTATATTTATAGTACACAAAGAAGTTATAATTCAGCCAAAAGGGGTATCTTTTGGGTTTTCGAAATGGATACCATGCACCTGGAGTAGACAAAATACTGACGACACAATTTATTCCTTTTATCTTTCAGTGGCAAGTTTCTGTGAACTCGTCAGTCGTAACATGATGTACATACTTCTATTATTTATAAACACAAATGGTGAACTCGGGCACCAGACTTCTTTGTTTGCAGGTGAATTGAAAATTATTTATTGCATACTTTGAGCCTGCGTGGTTTTTGCAGAAATAAAACATGAACTTTGAACGATTTCAAATAAACAAATAAAAACGATTTTGATTGTGCTTTATTCATTCATTCATTTAGTCATTCATTTTTGTTCCATCATTCACTAAATACATGTAATGTGATTCCGCTTGTATGGTAAGCCTACCTCAAAATATGAAATTGTATAGTATTTGCCATTTAATAATAGCGATAATGATGATGATGATGATGATGATGATGATGATGATGATGATGATGATGATGATGATGATGATGATGATGATGATGGTGGTGGTGGCGGTGGTGGTGGTGGCATTATGACTGTGGATTTTAACTATAAGAAATCGGACCCCTATTTCTACTAAAGGTTTTCAGGTGAAATAATAATTCAATAATATTTTGTCCTGTTGAGCCTCTGAGGGAAAAAATATGGCTCATTTGTTAGACCAAGTTGACAGGGAACATATCTACAAAGCAACACCCGCGTACGGGATTGGCAATAATCAGTTTATACACTGAAATAAAACAGATTTGTAGAAAACGAAGAGGGGTCTGGAAATTATAGCACCAACCGTCCACCTGAACGAATTTAGGATTTTCAACAGGCTTATAAAAAAAGCAGCAAATTACTACAACAATGAAGACGACAACGACGACTACACTATCATCAGCAAAAACAACAGTTACAGCTCAGCAACAACGACAACAACAACAATAAGAGAAAAAAAAACACACACACGCACACACACACACACACACACACACATACACACACACACTCACATAAATAGCCAGAGAATTATCCTGAAACGAAAGCTAGAGAGGAAACACATTCTCTGGGCTACTTCTGCAGAGAGTAAATATTTATCAGCTAATACAATTGTTTTGGAGCGGTAGGTTTCAAAGACACGTACAACAAGAGGACAAGCTGACAAACCACAAAAGCCATGTTGTGCTGGTCAGGTCTAGAAGCAGGCTACAGCCGCGCCTTTCATAGCGTCGGTTTACATTCCATCATAGAGAGCGCAGCTTTGTGCACTGTCCTCGTACTCCCATGCAATATGACACGAATACAATGCACTCGGGACGTAGAGTAAACATTGAGGCTTGTCTTTCTTTGAAACTCGCGATAAAAAGCCCAGAATGGTCGATGCAGGCAGCACGTCGACTGATAGCAATTCCTTTTGTTCGCCCCAATGAAGAGCCCAAGCTCAGCAATTCATCGAACATAAAACAAAACAATTTCTGGGACTTCCCCAGTCCCCGGCCACCGCCCCTCCCCCAT